TCAAATCCATTAGGCATAATTATGCTAACTTGATCTTACTAAAGTATTGCTTTTCTTCTCTCTCTCATGCTAAAAGCTACTTCAGTGAATCCCCCTTGCTACCAGGAAAAAGTCAAAACTCCTTAGTCGGGTACTTAAGATTCTCCCCAGTTGGACCCAAGCTAATTTCCCCATATTTGCTACTGTCCCACAATTATGAGCCTTCCAAAGATGGATTTCTAAGTTCTTTCAAGATTGTACAAACTGAGGTCACTGACAATTATATGTAACATTGCTTGTTTAAAACTGTGGGTCCGGGCTTCCCTGGTCCGCAGTGGTTGAGAGTCCGCCTGCCGATGCAGGGGACAAGGGTTCGTGCCCCGGTCTGGGAAGATCCCATGTGCTGCGGAGCGGCTGGGCCCATGAGCCATGGCCGCTGAGCCTGAGCGTCCGGAGCCTGTGCTCCGCAACGGGAGAGGCCACAACAGTGAGAGGCCCGCGTACCGCAAAAAAAAAAAAAAAACTAAAAGTAGGGGTCCCTTTTCCTTTCTTATAAATATATACCTGGTACTGTTTTTGCTTTTCTCACCCATAATTATGATCTATTTTGTTCCACAGGGTAAACTAATAGAGAGAAATAAGGAAATAGAAAAAGAACTTTTCTCATGTGACTGGCAACAAGAAAAACTTTAAAAGAAGGGAATTGTTAATTATTTTACTTAGTTGTTTATATTTCATATAGAGTTTTTGCATAATTAGGATGTGTGTCTATCTGTAGGAGTTTACTTAAGGACACTCATAACTAAGTCATAAAAAAAAAATGGGTGAGGAAGGGAGAGCCTAAAATAAAGGAATGATGACACAGAGAGACAGAGAGATTAAAGAGGTAGTTGAGAATAGAAATTTGTTCCAACAAATCATCTAAACTCATTAGATTTCAAAATTAGCTCAGGATAACCTGATAACTGAGTCTGCAAGGAGAGAAAAAAAGTTGGGGTCATGAAAGATTTGTTAACTGGGAGTCTAAAATACAAAGAATTATCAAATATCTAGAATCTAATTAAAGTGATACTTTCCAAATAATAAATAGATCATTAATTATTATAACAATTCAAAGTATAGGAGTGTAAGGTTTTACCAACTAGGGATGACAAATGGAACAGACAGCCACTGCCTGTTTGTCTGCTGGACCACAAATGCCAGCATGTATTGTTCTAATGACCATTTTTTTTCTGTTTCTAGAGTTAGATCAGACACAGGCAACCTATTTAAAAACAGGTATACAGTTAGTTCTTAAATCCTAATTTCTTACCATGGTTTGAATTCTTGTGGGTTTTCAGAATTGGATTTAGGAGGAGAGATGCTGAAATGATCATTATACAGCATATTTTTACACCAAGATGGATGTAAGTGGACTAGTTTGGAAATTTAAGGATGTGGCACAAATACATGAAAGAATATTAATTATTTCCAGTTTGTATCAATTTCCAAATTATACAAATTTTTCAGCTCTCTCTGCTCTTGTGCACCTTCAGAATAATTTTCAGGTTGCCATTGATTCCAGTGTGGCTGAAAAGATGTCAACTCCCAGAGCAGTTCATTCTAAAAATTTCCAGAACAAAGCCTCGTGCATACTCCCTGTTACACTGTTTTTATCTCTTTTGCTTTGCTTGGTGGGGAATGCTTTCCAGGGAGAATGCCATAGGCAAAGCTCTTTTTGAAAGATATGCCTAAATTAATTGGGTAAAATTTCACAGATAAAAGGTGTGTGTGTGTGTGTGTGTGTGTGTGTGTGTGTTTAACCTATGTTTGTTTAACTGCCTTCACTGCCACCTTCAACAATAGGAGAGAATGGCTTTTTATTTCCTACTCTGTTCCTTCTCCCAGAGTTATCTGGCTGGATGACAAATGGGGACATTCTTTTAGCAGAACATCACACAGGAAATGCCTGCAGAATTGTTAATTTGGAAAGAGT